TACCACAAGGTTTGTATTCAAAATCTCGTAGATAAGATAGTCCATTTTCTGATGTCCTCTTATTTCCATTGACTAAACCGATTCAGTCCCTTTTGTCTTCCCCTCCTAAGTTGTTTTTCTCACATCTTATTCCATCTTGTGTTGTGAGTTTGTGATTAAAATGACAAGATTATCTTTGTTTTTGTTGTTTTCCTTCCCTTTATGTTTAATGCTATTCTTGAGTATTTGCTAACCTGTTCTGATGTATAGCTACAATTTTATGATTTTGACTACCTATTTGCCTCCTTACTCCGTGCTTTGTAACCCCTTTCTCCCTTGTTTTTTTTTCAGGTGTGAAGGCCTTCTTGAGGTTTTCTTGTCAGGGGCGGGGCGGGTCTTGTGGCTATGAACTCCCTTAGCTTTTGTTTATCTGGGAAAGTTTTTATTTCTCCATCATATCTGAAGGATATTTTTTCTAGCTAGAGTATTCTTGGCTGAAAGTTTCTGTCCTTCAAAGATTTGAATGTGTCATTCCAGTCTCACTTAGCCTGTAAGGTTTCTGCATAGAAATCCACTGACAGCCTGATAGGGTTTCCTTTGTAAGTTATTTTCTTCTGCCTTGCTGCCCTTAATATTTTTTCCTTATCATTCATTTTTGCCAGTTTCACTGCTAGATGCCTTGCAGTAGGTTTTATTACATTGACGTATTTAGGAGATCTGATAGCTTCTTCCACGTGGATTTCCATCTTCTTCCCTATGTTTGGGACATTCTCTGCTATTATTTCTTTGAACAAGCTTTCTACTTCATTCTCCTTCTCTTCTCCCTCTGGAATACCTATAATCCTTACGTTGCATTTCCTAATTGAGTCCAATGTTTCTTGGAGACTTTCTTCACTTCTTTTTACTCTTAGTTCTCTCTCCTCCCCTATCTGGAGCATTTCAACGTGCCTCTCCTCGATTATGCTGATTCACTCCTCTATGATGTCTGCTTGAGTGTTCAAGGAATCCGTATTTTGTTTTATCTCTTCCATTGTGTTTTTCATCTACAATATTTCTGATTGATTCTTCTTCACAGTTTCAGTCTCTTTTGTGAAGTAGCTCCTGAACTCATTGAGTTGTTTCTCTGCATTCTCTAACTCATTGAGTTTTTTGATGATAGCTATTTTGAATTCTCTGTCATTTAGATTGCAAATTTCTCTGTCCTCAGGACTGATTTCTGGGTACTTGTCACTTTCTCTCTTGTATGGAGATTTAATATAATTTTTGATATTGCTAGAGGGCATGACTCTGTTTTTGTGCGTTGTGATATTATTTGGTCACAGTTACTGCCTATCACCACTGTGTGGGGGTCAAGAGCCATGTATCCTGAGCCCTCTGCCTTCCACCAAGATCCAGGCACTGGAGCCAGCGCTGGGTGGATGGTGGGTGGCCTCTAGGGGCGCTTCCTTTTGCATGCTTTCAGGGTTTTCTCACTCTACCCTCCGTATCTGCTCTCCTGAGGTGTTGGCTTGATGGGGTCACCCCTGTGTTAGCTTTCACCTCAGTAAGGGCTTTCCCCTAGGCTGCGAGGGCCCTTGGGGATCTTTGATGTTCCCATGGGTGAACACCCCCTCCCCTGTTCCTTCCCTCTCAGAGGCTGTTCCCAGTCCCGGATCCCAGTCTTTTGGGGAGGGGGTGAAGTTTTCTCTTACTCCGTTCCACCTCCTCCGAGGGTGCCCTCCATCGTATGGCTGTGTGGGTCTCTCAGATATCTTCTGTGTTGTGTTTGGATGTCCTCTGTTGGAGTATGAATGTCTTTTTCATTGTATGGTGGAGGGGAGAGATTACCGGGAAGCTCACTCTGCCATGATGCTGACATCACTTTTGGAAAGTATGACTTGTAGCTGGATGATTAAGGAAGGCCTGTCAGAGGAGATGGTATTCAAACTGGCCCTTCAAATTAGCTGTCATCTATTAAGTGTTTTGGATGGGCCAGGCATTGTAACAATGAAGATTAATAATAGAAATAAAACTGGAGAGATAGGTAGGTCCAGACTGGGAAGGAATTTGAATGCCAAACTGAGGAATTCAGACTTTATCCTACAGGCCAGTAGAACTGTCCAGCAGAACTTTCAATTCTGTTTCATTGATCTGTGCACCTGTTTTTATACCAGTACCATGCTGTTTTGATTACTGTAGCTTTGTAGTATGCTTTGAAGTCAGGGATTGTGATGCCTCCGGCTTTGTTCTTTTTTCTCACGATTGCTTTAGCAATTCGGGGTCTTTTGTTGCCCCATTTGAATTTTAGGATTCTTTGTTCAATTTCTGTAAAGAATGTCATGGGGATTCTGATTGGGATAGCGTTGAAACTGTAGATTGCTGTAGGTAGTATGGACATTTTAACTATGTTTATTCTTCCAGTCCATGTGCATGGAATGTCTTTCCATCTGTTTATGTCGTCATCAATTTCTTTCAAGAAAGTCTTGTAGTTTTCGTTGCATAGATCTTTCACTTCCTTGGTTAAATCCGTCAGAACTTTCTTTGATGATGGAAATGGTCTATTCTGCTCTGTCCAATATGATAGCCACTAGCCACATGTAACTATTCACTACTGAGGAACTGGAGTTTTTATTTTAATTGAATTTACGTAGCACATACAGCTACCAGCTACTGTATTAAATGGCACAGCTATAGGCAGTAGGTAACATCTGACAACTTTTAAGCTGATAAATGATATACTTGGGCATTTTTAAGATTGGTTTTGTACAAGATGGACTGGAGAAAGGCAGACCGATTAGCGGTGGGGAGACCAGTCAGGCTGTTGCCGTCATCTAGGTTTAGGATGATAGTGGTCTGATGCAGGAGAGTGCTCGTGGGAATGACAGGAAGGACTGGAGTCAGAAGCAGTTCTCAGGATTGATAGGACTTGGTGACTAACTGAGAAGGCAGGAGGGGGAGAGGTCAGACTGAGTCCCTAGTTTTTAGCCCGAGTGAATAAGAATGGTGACATCATTAACAGAAATTGAGGAGCTGCTGTTGAGAGCAAAAACCTTTTTTTTTCTTTTCTACATGTCAAGTTTGAAATGAATGTGGGCAGGGCTAATACTAGCCGTAATGTAAAGTGTAACATACATTCGAATAGCATCGTAGCTCAGCAAAGAATCCAGGAGAAGAGATGTGGATCTGCCAGTACTAAACATAGGAGATGATAATTGAAAACATAAGAGTGGGTGACATTAGAAGGAAGCAATAGAGAAAAGTGATGAGAACTGAGTACCAAACTTTTTGGCTCTATGCACATTTAGATAAAAATTGGAAACAAGCTGAATTCCCACCTATGGGGAACCACTGAATACATTATGGTGCATACACACTGTGGAATACCTTGCGGCTACTAATGCAGCTGCTTAAAAGACTGAGGCAGATCTATATTACTGACTTGGAAGATGCCCGTGATTTAAAATAAATTAGTGAGTGATGTGTAACATGATCTGTGTTGGAATTTTTGGGCATCTTTTGAAAACCCCTTCCTCATTTGGGAGGAATCTCCCTTTGTGTGAGTGTTGGTGGGAGGCAGAGCTCCGTGCCCTAGTATGGATGCCTTTGTGGGGAAACCCTCCCTCTCCCCATCCCCTGGCTGCTGGAGCCAGACTGTGAGCTCTGCTCAGCCAGTGGGAGGCTTCGCCCCATTCTGAATCTTAAGCAATTGCCATGGAGTGAAGGGCGGTGAAGTTAGATCCTGAGCCGCTGATGTGTGTGGAGAGAGTGGCAGCAGTGGTTTATTCTTCCTAGCCTCGCTTGGTTCCTGCTTGTTTTCTGAGCCTGGTGCTTGAGCCTTCTTTCTTGCTTAAGTTGCCAGAATGGTTTCTGTTATTAGTACCCAGGAACTCTGACTTATACCCATTTTTTATTTAAAAGAAAAACTTAGCACGTACAAAATTCTCCATTTTTTTGGGTAGATTTCCTTAACAGTTTCAAAGTCTTCACACCAAATTGTTAACAGTGCTTTTATCAAGGATTTGAGATGGGGGGGAAGTGAGGGTAAAGAGGGGTTGGCATGGGTAGGAGGAAACATTTAGTTTTACTTTAGACACTTCTGGTTTGTTTGAATTCCATCACTGAGTGTGTACTTCTTTAGTAATTTAAATGTCTGAAAAAACCTTAAGAATGAAAAAATTGAAGATAATACTTGGCTCACCTACTTTACATTATCATGAAGGATTGTTGCAAGGAGCAAATGCAATGGGGAATATGAAAATGTTCTGAAAATTATTAAGTGCTGTTTGAGTATGATGAAGCAGAATAGCAATAGTGACTTGAGTGGCATTTCAGTGTAGAGGTAAAAGCCGTTTTGAAGGGAGTTGAGGAAATAAGCTCTAATATGGTCAGGGATATAATATCAGCTATTCATTGATTTGATAGTGAAAGGGAATAGAAATTAGATAGTGAAGGAGATTCTTCTCAACTTTTTAATTTGAAAATTTTCTACCTTAAAAGTTAAAGTACCGTGAATACCGACACAGCCTCAATCTAGATTCAACAATTATTAACGTTCTGCTACATTCGTTTTGCCTCTCTGCCTATCTATATAAAATTTTGTGTTTTTGTTCTTTTCCTAAACCATTTGAAAGCAAGTTGGAGGCATCATGACACTTTATCCCAGATACTTCAACGTGCATATTTGAACAATAAGGATGTTCTCCTGCATAACCACAATACCATGTTCACGTTTAAGGAAATTAGTAACTCCACAGTATCTTCTACTCGCTATTTTATATTCAAATTTCCTAGTTCTAAAAATACCTGTTTTTTAATAGAAAATTTTATTTCCTCAATTCGAGATCCAATCAAAGTGAATACAATGCATTTGCTTGTATGGCTCAGTAGTCTCTTTGAATCTGCCACATTCCTCCTGTCACAGTATTCCCCCTCACAATATTGACCTGTGAAAGGTCTAAGCCAATTGTCTGATAAAATGTCCTATATTCTGGATTTGTCTGATTATATTCCTATGATCTAACTTTCCTTCTTAATTATTTCAGATAACCCTAATCAGAAAGGATGGAGCTGGGAAAAGGAAAACTTCTCAGGACCGGGCTGAACGCATTGCATCAAGCAGTCCACCCAGTTCACGGCCTTGCCTGGACTGACGGGGATCAGATCATCCTGACTGATATACAGCTTCACGCTGGAGAGGCCAAGTTTGGGGACTCAAAGGTCATTGGACAGTTCGAACATGTGTATGGGGTGTCCTGGGCCCCACCTAGTACGGCTGACATGCCCGCTCTGCTCGCTGTCCAGCACAAGAAGCATGTCATTGTGTGGCAGCTGTGTCCCAGCATTACAGAGACAAGCAAATGGCCGATGTCTCCAACCTGTGAGATTAGAAAATCCTTCCCCATCCTTCCCCAGGGCTGTGTGTGGCACCCAAAAAGTGCTGTCCTGGCTGTGTTGACTGCACAGGATGTCTCCATTTTCCACAATGTTCACTGTGACAGTTCCTGGGTAAAAGCGACTATCGACACCCAGGGCCTCATTCACTGTGCGTGTTGGACCCAGGATGGCCAGAGGCTGGTGGTGGCTGTAGGCAGCAGCCTGCACTCTTACATTTGGGACAGTGCTCAGAAGACTCTTCACAGGTGCCCCTTCTACCCAGTGTTTGATGTGGACAGCTGTGTGCGCTCCATTGGAGCCACTGTTGAGTCACAGGTCGCCGTGGCCACTGAACTTCCACTAGATAAGATTTGTGGCTTAAGTGCATCTGAAACCCTTGACGTTCTGCCTAGTGGTGAAGACACTTGTCTGTGTAGCTTACCACTTGAGGAAGGGCTCTTTGTGGATAAGGAGGCATTTGCTTCTGAAACGAATTCTGAAACGTCAGTTTCTCCCTTTTCTTCCTCTTCAGATCCTGTGGATCTAACTCATATACAGTTCAGTAGATCTGAGTCTGAGGGTAATTCTCTTATTTGTCTAAGAAAAAAGGACCACTTGACGGGAACTGGCCTGGATTCTTCATATTTAGCCCTTGTGACCTTTGAGCAAGTGGTTACCCAGACCAGAAAAGTCGCTATCCCAGGCATTCTGGTTCCTGATCTAATAGCCTTTCATCCTAAGGCACAGGTGGTGGCAGTGGCTTCCAATACTTGTAATATAATTTTTATCTATTCTGTCAATCCATCATATATGCCAAACATCCAGCAAGTTCAGTTAGAGAGTAGTGAAAGACCAAAAGGCATATGTTTCCTGACAGATAAATTATTGTTAATTTTGATAGGAAAACAAAAATCCACTGATTCTGCATTTCTTCCTTCTTCAAAGTCTGATGAGTATATCATTCATCTGGTTGTTAGAGAAGTAATGTTGGAGGAAGAGTGTCCAGTAGCACCGAGTGGAAACCAGAGTGGCTACTCTGCTTTCAGTACTCTGTTAAATAAAGCAGATAGAAAAAAGCTACTTGAAAGTCTTTCCCCAGATTTTTGTCACCAAACCAGAGGGCTCTTGTTAACAGCTAATGGCAGTAGGCAAAGTGGAAGGCCTGGAGGAAGCCTCGTTAAAGGAATCAGAACTCCTCCATCCAGTGTCTGTGGCAGCTCCATAGCCCTGGAAACTCTGGGAGCTGAGCCTGTTAACTGGTCCGTGACACTGCCCAGACCCAGCAGCACACCAGAGCACACCAGCACCCCGGACCCGCCTCATCCGCCTCAAAGAAGGAACTTATCAAAGGACAAGGAAACTTATCAGCTATCTGAGGAACTGGAAATTTTATCTAGGAAACTCATTGAAGTGCAGCGATGTCTTTCTGAGCTCACAGACTTTCTACATAATGGAAAGAAATCCACTCCAGTGTATCCATGCTCTCGGGATCTGCCTTATGTTCACATCACTTACCAGGTAACTTCTTTGAGGAGCTACCACTAAACATAAAAGCTCCTGCAGCGAGTGGGTACTGCGCGAAAAACTTACTAATGAGGAACATGGTGTTCTAATTGAACTTCCCTGAACTGGACATGTTACGTTAAAGGCAAGTTGTTATGCCTTTCCAGGTTGGTTGCCTGCCAACCAGATGGGCACACACACCAGTACACACTGAGTTTATCATGTGCGTGGTGCAAAAACATTAATGATTACACCCTTTCTGAGAATTTTATTTAGAAAAAGATTTTTTATTGTGCTATTTCATTGTGAAAACTTTTTCCTTATGTAATGCAGATACTCTTCTATTTATAAGAAAGGTTATAGTCATTACAGATTTTTAATGCATCTATTTATGCATGCATATGCAAACATATAATATTACATAAATGGGATTACATCATATCTGGGTTTTGTTTTTGTTTTTTGTTTTGTTTTGCTGAGGAAGACTGGCCCTGAGCTAACATCCGTGCCCATCTTCCTCTACTTCACATGTGGGACACCTGCCACAGCATGGCTCACCAAGCAGTGCCATGTCTGCACCGGGATCCGAACCGGGGAACCCCAGGCCGCTGAATCGAAACATGTGAACTCGACCGCTGCGCCACCAGACAGGCCCCATCGTATCTGTTTTCATCATGAACACTTTTCCCCCATTGAACTTGGCCCTACCTCTCCTCCCCATAACTCACTGTAACTAGAAGCTTAATGTGGATCCTTCCATATTTTACTTCATAGTTACATAATACACAGATCTTTGTAGACAAGGTATATAGGTCTGGGGTGGGGGTTGATGATGGTGGTGGTTTGTCATTGTTTTACAAAAATGAGGTCAGGGCCAGCTCAATGGTGCAGCAGTTAAGTGCACATGTTATGCTTCAGCAGCCCAGGGTTCGCTGGTTCGGATCCTGGGCGTGGACTTATGCACCACCTATCAAGCCATGCTGTGGCAGGCATCCCACATATAAAACAGAGGAAGATGGGCGCAGATGTTAGCTCAGGGTGAGTCCTTCTCAGCAAAAAGAGGAGAATTGGTGGCAGATGTTAGCTCAGGGCTAATCTTCCTCAAAAAAAAAAAAAATTGGGTCATACGGTACATTCTACTTCATGCTGAGAGCATGCTATTTGTTCATCTGTTCCCTTGTTGTGGACACTCACTCTGTTTTCAGTTCTTAGCCACTCCAAATAGTGCTGGAGTAGTATTCTTGTATGTAGCTATTTGTATTTTTACTTTGATTTCTGTTGAGTTGGTTCCCAGAAGTGGAAGTGCAAATTTGAGGAGTATATGTATACGTTTCTGCTTTTAATAGAGTTGCCAGATTGCCTTTCAAAGATTTTTTACTTAACAGTGCATCATCACGTGCCTACTACTGTCCTTTTCCTCACATCCTCGCCAATCTGATAAGTGTGAAGTGGTAATTCAATTTTGTTAATTTTTATTTCTTTTACTATTAGTGCATTTGAGAGTGTCCTCATTTTTTTGCCAATTGAATGTGAATTGCCTATTGCTCATTTTTCCCTCTTGAATTAATCAGTTTATGAGGTATTTGTATATTGAAATTTATTATTTTTATATGTATAATTTATATATTACTATATATGTAAGAAATTAATATACATGTAGTAATCTAGATTTTCTTGCATTATTTTACTATATTAGTTACAACTATATTAGTTTAAATTTTTAATCTTTAATTAAATTTTGGGGTATGGGCCACTTCTGTTTTCTGACCAATAACCAGTTGTGCTAGCAACATTATTAAAAGTCCATCTTTGGGGCCAGCCCCGTGGCATAGTGGTTAAGTTCAGCACACTCTGCTTTGGCAGCCCAGGTTCGCAGATTTGGAACCCTAGGTGTGGACCTACACCACTCATCAGCCATGCTGTGGCAGCGACCCACATATGAAATAGAGGAAGATTTGGCACAAATGTTAGCTCAGGGTGAATCTTCCTGCAGCAAAAAAAAAAAAAAATCCATTTTTATCCCACTAAACTTGATCTGTCACATTGGTCATGTATAAATTTATGTATAGTGGGATATAATTCTGGATTCTCTGTACTGCAGCTACTGTAATTCTGATCTCATCTGTAACTTTATCAATACCACACTGATTTGATTACTGCCAACTTATATATGTTCATTTTAAAAGATATTTGCAGAAAGTATTGAAATCAATGATAAGTAATATGTAAATTACTATTTCAATAATGGTCAAAAGGAGGTATTTTAATTAGTTTTTTCTAAAACTACTACTGTTTGATGAACTCAATGATGTAAGTTTTTTTTTTTTTTTTTTTTTTTTAAAGATTTTATTTTTTCCTTTTTCTCCCCAAAGCCCCCCGGTACATAGTTGTGTATTCTTCGTTGTGGGTTCTTCTAGTTGTGGCATGTGGGACGCATGGTCTGACGAGCAGTGCCATGTCCGCGCCCAGGATTCGAACCAACGAAACACTGGGCCGCCTGCAGCGGAGCGCGCGAACTTAACCACTGGGCCACGGGGCCAGCCCCAAGGATGTAAGTTTTTAAAAGAACCACAGAATGGGGCCCGCCCCGTGGCTGAGTGGTTAAGTTTGCATGCTCTGCTGCAGTGGCCCAGGGTTTCACCGGTTCGAATCCTGGGCGCTGACATGGCACCAATCATCAGGCCATGCTGAGGCGGTATCCCACATGCCACAACTAGAAGGACCCACAACTAAGAATATACAATTTTGTACCTGGGGGCTTTGGGGAGAAAAAGGAAAAAAATAAAAATAAATAAATAAATAAATGAAAACAAAAAGAACCAAAGCATAGTTTAAACCTAAATTAAATTTTTTATTACAAAAAATTTCAAACAGATCATAGAATACATTTTTTTATTATGAAAAATTGTAAACATGTTGAAAGACTACAGAATGAAACCCTGTTTATATCTCTATCACCTGGATTTAACAATTGTTAACATTTTGCCATAATTACTTGATTTTTTTTGTTTACTAAAATATTTTAAGTAGAGACATGGTATTTCACTCGGATATTTTGGGATGCTGTTCTAAAATGTAAGCACATTTTCTTTAATTACCACAATGCTATTATCACGCTTGATAACATGTAAGAATTATTACTTAATATCATCTAATACCTAGTCCTTATTCAGATTCCCCAAGTTGTCTCCAAAACCAGTTAAATCACAGACCTGTTAAAAATCAGTTAAACACTGATTTATTTTTATTTACTTAAAAAAAATTTTTTTTGCTGAGGAAGATTAGCCTTGAGTTAACATCTGTTGCCATTCTTCCTCCACTTTATGTGTGGGTTGCCACCACAGCATGGCTACTGAGTGGTGTGGTTCCGTGCCTGGGAACTGAACCCAGGCTGCCAAAGCAGAGAGTGCTGAACTTTAACCACTAGGCCGTTGAGGCTGGCTTGAAACAAGTATTTTTGAGCAGAATTTTTGCCACATTATCTTCAGCCAAAAGAGATATTTAAATGTTATTTTGGTGGGGTTTTTTTGTTTTTGTTTTTGTTTTTGCTGTGGAAGATTTGCCCTGAGCTAACATCCATGCCAGTCTTCCTCTGTTTTTTAGTATGTGGGCCACCAGCACAGCATGGCCACTAACAGAGCAGCGTAGGTCCACACCAGGAACTGAACCCTGGCCTCTGAAGTGGAGGGCGCTGAACTTAGCCACTAGGCCACTGGGGCTGGCCCTTAAATGGTTTTATTTAATTACATGAAGTTTTCTGTAAACAGTTTTCAGTAAATAGATTTTTGAGTTTTAAAAATTATAGTATTTATAAATCTGAAATTTCATTTGGATTTTTTTCTTTCCGTGACTTTTTAAGTTTTCCTTTTTCCCTTTTTGTTTCTCTTTTTGAATAGGTAATTCATTTACTTGTTTTAAAAAGCAAAAAATGTTGGCACTAGCCCAGTGGCACAGCACTTAAATTCCCACGTCCTGCTTCGGCACCCCAGGGTTCACCGGTTCGGATCCCAGGTGGGGACACGGCACCCCTTGGCAAGCCATGCTGTGGTAGGCATCCCACATATAAAGTAGACGAAGATGGGCACGGATGTTAGTTCAGGGCCAGTCTTCCTCAGCAAAAAGAGGAGGATTGGCAGGAGATGTTAGCTCAGGGCTAATCTTCCTCAAAAACAAACAAACAAAAATGTATTTTAATAAAAAGGTATGTACTGAAAAGTCTTACTCTCACCCCATCCCTGTTCAACCTGTTCTCCTCACTTCCTATAGGTAACCATTTTTATTTTTATTTCTTTATGCAGATACTGGCAGATCTTACTATATATTTTTATTTCCCCTTTTGTTACACAAAAGGTGAGGTACTATATACAGTGTACTGCATCTTTCTTTTTCTATTTAATAATATGTCCTCAAGAGCTCTCCATATTAGCACACACAGCTCTTTTGTATTCTTTTACAGCTGCATAGTATTATTTTTTTTCCTAATTACAAAAGTAATATATGCTCATTGAAGAAAAAAGTATTTTTCTGAAAGTAGACTATTTTATCAAACAAGAATATATTTTTATTTTTAAACATTTATAAATGTGAAATTCTGTATTTTTTTAAGTAAAAAGGAATTGGCTTTTTTGCTTTTTCAATTCCTCAATTTCTCATTTCATAATGAATTAATCTAACCAAGCTGTTACAAGTAATTACCTCTGGGGCGTAGGATTTGGGGACTTTACTTTCTACATTATAAATGTCTATTTTACTTTTTTAGATTGAGCACATATTACTTTTGTAATGAGAAAAATAAAAGGAAAAAAAGCAAAATAATCAAAAGCAAGAAAGCACTTCCCCTAAAATTTGGAAGCCACCTTTTACAAGAGCTGAATGACTAGTCGTGAGTCGCTTAACAACAAGGATTGATTTCATTGTAATGTCCACATGATAGAGTGTACTGAAGGGGAACAAAATCTGCCACCCCAAAATGTGTCTCTTTAGCATGAGGATTATTTTAGGCTGATTATTTTTAAGAAACAGAAGACTTGGAAAGTTTTTCTCATTACCTCCTCTTAACTGCCTAAGAGAATTCAGATAAAAAAACCTGTCTCAGGAAGCGGGCTGTTGCCTTAGCATCACATGAACTCGGTGGTGGACGGGGAGGCACCTAGAGAAGCCTGTTTGTTGGGCTCCCCTCTGTGTTCTTCTGCTTCTGTGCAACCAAACAAACTTGTTTTCTGAATGTTTGCTCCTTTTCACCTACCTATGAATTGCCTGCCTTCCCTTTGAAGTCCCTGTCTCTCCCCCATCCCCACATCTTCTTCTGCCTTAGCTGAGGATGCTGTTTAAGGTGAGGGCTTCAGCCATTTCGGTGAGTCACTCAGTTTCCCTGGTTTCTCCCATGTATATATTATTAAACTTTTGTTTGTGTTTCTCCTATTAATCTGTCTCATGTCAATTTAATTCTTAAACCAGCCAGAAGGACCTAGAAGTATAGAGGAAAATTTCTTCCATCGCTACAGTACTTCCACAAACCTAAATGCTATAGCCTATGACGCACCTAGACCGTATAGTACTAATCTGAGGGGCCCGCCATCGTACAGGCTGCACGTCGTTGACTGAAACGCTGTTATGTGGTGCATGACTGTAGTTGCTTATGGCCCTTACAGTTTATTCATGTGACAACTTTTAAAATGTTCTTAATAGACATGTCTTTGAGTTGTTGATCCTACCACAAATGGAGTACGATTTATCTTTCATCGTTAAAGTTGTTACTTAGTCAGAAAATGAGTAGTGATAATTCTAACAAGAAAATGAGTTGGACACCTAACTTACTTATGAAACTATTTTTTAAATTCTCACATGAAGATATTGTTTCAAATAATATATAACTAGAAGTTATATTTTTAAATTCTTTGTTCTCTGTACCTTTACACTCTTAATGTGTCTTTAATTAGAGCTGTAATTGTTTGATGTTTTCTTTGTCTCAGGACGTTTGAAACCATTTTTAAAGATGAGTTAATTTTTAATATGACTTTTTGAAATTTAAAAATCATTTTCATTCGTGTGTTTTCTAAGCTAAATGAATTTTGACCACAGTTTGTTTATTTTTCTTATGCAAATCCTCTGCTACTCCACCACTTAGGGCTTTCTTCCTTGGCATTTTTTCCCCAATGAAGAAAGCATGAAGTCTCTCAGTTGTATCTGAACCAGGCAAGCAGTGGTTTCTCACCATTAGGTTGTGTCTGTCAGGCTGCCCTCCGTCATCCTATGGCATTATTAGTCATATCTTAGGCGAGCCATTTTCTAGTGATAAAGACAACCCTGGGGAAAAAGCAGAGCAAAAGGAAAAGTCAATTAGGGGTTGTGTTTTGTTCTGATCCTTTAGTTGTGTTAAAAAATGCAGCAAAAAGCTCCTTATTTGAAGTCTAGTTGATAGTGGTAATAGATAAGGATTTTTCAAAACTGTGTACACACTCTGTTGTTAAGCAATGTTAACTCCACTGCTTCTTCAGTCAGTTTAACAACTTTTATTTTTGTGTTTGAAGAAATTTTATTATGTAGGTCCTGTTGTTGAAAAAAGAGCTGTGCTCCTCTGCAATGGCAAACTAAGGCTCAGTACAGTTCAGCAGACTTTTGGCCTCTCCCTGATTGAAATGCTGCACGGTAGGTAACATTCAGAAACTGACCCTACCCAACACCCCCTCCCTGCACCATCTATTTTGTAACTTTCACTGCTAATGAAAGTGAGGTGTACCAACCATTTAGTGATTCATTAGATAGTTAACAAGTACTATTAATTGTCTACTGTATACCCAGGCCTCTTACCAGTGCCAAAACACATAGAAAATATGGGTTCTGCCCTTAAGGGACTTACAGCCTAGCTGGAAAACCTAAATATACATGTGAAAAAACTAGAAAAGAGTTACAAAGTAATATATTAACTACAAGGAAATGACGTAAAAACCTCATATACACCTGTTGCATAAACATAAAGATCATAGCAGCATTGCAGAATGTTTCTTACAGGAGTTGTCACTTTAATATGCAGCAAACGTGGACATGAAGGGCACTCCTAGATGACAAGGGACTGAGTCGTGCCCACGGTCCCCCAGATTTGGAGCGTGGTTGTTTCCTTATTCCTCCTCCCTTTCACGGTAGCCGCTACATTGAACGTAAAATTTTGTTTCATTTTTTTCTCCCTTAACATTGTAGCATCAGCATTTTCCTATTTTGACACGTGCATTTATGATATGACTTCATAATTGTCATTTTTACTGGGTGGGGTTAAATTTCCATTCTGAGTGTACCGTATTTTACTTTGCCATATTTTCTCTGACACTTAGGTAGTTTCCAGTTTTTCACCATCATAAGTAACACTAATAAAAACTTTTCTGTATAGTTACATGTTGTTTTTGGAAAGTGTAGATTTTCAGAAGTGGAATTATGGGGTCAAAAGGTGAGACACAGGCGACTTGAAAGAACCAGAGAACATCCAGGCATGTGCTATGCTAGTGGCCCTAGGTTACCCCAGAACAAACCCTTCAGGATTATCTGGACCATTCCAGTCTAGCTCAGGTCAGCTCAGCCTCTTTGGGTGTGTAGAGGTTGGTATGGATCTAAAGAATAAAGAAGGTTCCTTCATAGAGTAGCTCTTCCTAACTTCACGTAGTTTCTGGAGAAACTGCTTAACAGCATGTAGATAAGGTAGGGACACTCCATACAAAACCCCAACACATGTGTTCACATAAGCTCATATGCATAGCACGGAGTGATAAATGCCTAGTTTGGGTGAAAACGTATGTCCCTTAGCAGTGCCTAAGTCGTCCACGTCCCCTTCCTTCCACGTAACCTGACCCGAGGTAATACTCGGTCCTTCCATCTCCCCAGGCTCTGTAAAGTCTTGTGATGATCAGGTTCAATATTATCAACTACTGCGTTCTTACCCTCAAAAAAAATCATGTTTATCATGTTTTTCTTTATAGAATAAGATAAGATATCCTAAATTGCCCGTTTTTTTTGCTTTGCAGACTCCCAATGGATCCTGCTCTGTGCTGACAGCGAAGGCTTCATCCCATTAACTTTCACAGCCACACAGGAAATAATCATAAGAGATGGCAGCCCCAGGTCCAATGTCTTCAGAGACTCTCTGTCTCAGAGCCTTGATCCTAGCCCTTCTCATGAAGTCTTCAGAGACCATACTGCCCAAAGTGTAGATGCCACTGGCTGTTCTAACCACCTAGGCAGAATGGCCTGATGTTTGCGGACTATCTGCGGCATAGCTTTTTCAGATGAAGCCATTACGGACAAGCTCTGTTTTCCGCCGTGGCCTCTCCCCAGCTGGGATTTGCACTGTCGCTCAGAGGTGAAGCACTTAGTTCGGTTGCTTCTCCCCCTTGCCGGGGCGGAGGCCCACGGCTCTGCAGCCAAGCTCAGTCTTTGTTCGATCCCTCAGAAAGTGGCTATTTACGTATTCATGACTGTGTGGTTTTGTCTAAGGGCAGAATTCCCAGAACAAAACAATATTATGGTGCCATATGGTTTGTGTTTTATGGTTTCTCTGAGGCTTTCTGTCCCTTGCCCAAAACTGTTATTAAAGCTGTCTTAGAAGCACTTAAAAGGTACCTCAGCGTTGTTACAGATCTTTTTCTTGGCTTAAGGATGAGGGTAAGGCGTGCTGGGGAACAGATGCTCCCGCACATCCTTTTTACCCCAAACCAGCAGTTCTCAGCAGAGCTCAGAGGGAGACAAAAAACCGGGTGACTTCTGCTCCCGGGGCTGGGCCTGCCAGGATGTAAACCTAACCCGCCTGCTTCCTTAGAAAATTCTGGCTGACAAAGGTCCAGATACTCCTAGAAACTGGCCCTGGGCAAATTTCAAATGAGTCAAGTGCTCTGACCCCTCTGGGCCCCACCTGAGTGTGTGCTGATGTTACTAGTACAGTGCCAAGCTCAGGTGAGGCCTGAGGCGGGATTCCGTGCTGGTGCCGCTTCTGACCTTCTCCCTGATAGGCTTTTTTTTTCAGTTTTGGGATCATAAGAATGTCCTATTTTTCTCCCACTAATCATCTTCCTTAATTAAATCATCACTTTAATTTTGATATTTTTCCTCCCATTCAAGTCTCGGAGACCAGCAAAGAGTCTGTGAGAGAACGTATTTCAGAAAGTTGGAAATTTCACTGAATCTGAGGTAGTTCTAAAAAGTACCAGTTTATTATAATTATGGGCCAAGGCACCAGCTTAGTATAGTGGAGAGAGCCCTGATTCCAGCTTCAGAGAGACACACCACTCCTCATGGCCTTCACACACAATCCTAAACTTCAGTTACTGCACATGACGAAATGATCAGTGTGTGGCTCGTCAGAGCGCATTTGCAGATAAATTGCTTCAGCCGGAGAAGCTCCATGAGCACATACGCATCTTTTTTTCTCCCCTTTCCTTTAAAATTATCCGGAAAGAAATATTTTGTACCCTTGGGGACTCCCGTCTGTTATGGTTTATGAAGATGGGACCGGGACAGGAAAGAAGCGAGGGCCCATTTTGTGGTTCAAATGCATTAGAGAGCTGCTGGGATAATGGAAGTGGAGGCCGCGTGTCTGTCATCAGTTGCCTGAGAGTGGTGGCTGAGGACAGTTTGAGGTCTGGCTCCATTTGCAAAGGAAGTGTCTGGGTGGGATGAGAGCACACTACTGTGAATCCTAAAGAGGGGCCCTGGGGGACCCTGTAGTAAGATCACTGTGGGCGCCTCAAGGTGGATGTTGTAATTGCCATTTCGCTGGTCAGAATGCTGTGAATGAGTCTTCAATAAAATCACTAATGGTTGTTGTGGCTGTTGCGAGTGTTTTGATGGTATTTTCTTTGTGATTAGTGCTGGTATAGAAAAATGTTCTTGATTTTATGCATGTGTATATTGTCTCTGTATTTCTTCTTCTAGTGGATAGTCCGGAATGTAAATTATTTATTTCTTTACAACAGATGTGATTCCATGACACCTCTCATACAAAAGATGTTTCCTTGGCCTCTGCTAGTATTGTAGTCATTGGAACAATAGAACATAATCCAGTATCTGCTGACTTTGGAGACAGAGAAGAGCTAAATTCTTTAAATTATCGTTTAATGTTGTATTGAGAATATTTTGGGCAAGGAAAGACATTATTTACAAATCCCATTTTGTGCCCAAATTTTTCTAAATATCGTACTGGTATTATTTGATACATGCCATAGATATAAAGTATAGGAAGGCTTAATAATTCAATGAACCACCTATCACCTAATATAAGAACCAGAACATTACTTGAAACCATCCGGGCTCCCTGTGTGTCCCTCCTGGGTTCTCCGCAGGTAACTGCAGCCCAGAGGGAGCTAATCTCTTGATTGTTGTAATTATCGTTTCTTCATTCCTTTTTTTTTTTTTTTAAAGGGAGTTTCACCACAACCACGTATACACATTGGCCTCAACAATATAATGTTTATTTTCCCTTGTTTTTGAGCTTTATGCAACAGTATTATATTGTATATGGTCTTCTGCGACTTGCTTTTTTTCACTCAATATTATCTTTAACATTCATACTTACATGTGTACGTTCTATTACTTTCACTGTTTTGATTTATCAGAATTTATCTGTTTTCCTGCTGTGCACATTTGGATTGTTCCCCCGTTTTATTTTTGCAATTATAAACAGTATTGCTTTGAATGTTCTTGTTACATGTCTCCTGATGCAGGCGTTTGAAAAGTCTCCCTGCGGTCTCTTACCTAGGTATGGAATTGCCGGAGCACAGCGTGTGTGTAAATTGAGATTACTTTCCAAGGTGGTTGTGTCAGTCTTCACTCCCAGCAGCAGTGTCTCAGAGCTCCTATAGCTCTTCCAGGCTCCAGGCTTCTCAATCTACAACACTTTAGTAGTTTTCAGTGGCTTCTCATTGTGATCCTAATTTTTACTTTCAGACCACCATGAGCCTCAGCATCTTTCATTTGTTTATTGGCCGTTCCACTTTTCTCTTTTGCAGAATGTCTGTTCATGCCTTTTGTCCAAATTTCTATTGGGTTGTCTTTTTCTGGTTGAGTTGTAGAGACTCCATATATTCTAGATGTCACTAATATATGTGGCTAGGATCTTCACCCAATTTGTGACTTGTCTTTTCCCTTTCTTTATGGTGTGATTTGTTGACCAAACATTGTTAATTTTAATGAAGTCATATTTATCAATCTTGCCTTTTATGAAAGTTTTGTCTTTCACATTTGTTTCTTTAATCAGCATTCTGTCGGGTACTTGAGGGGGACCCTCTTAGCTCTCCTGAGTTCTGTCTCTGTGTAGCTCACTCCTCTCCAGTATTCTGTCCTTGGAACTCTAGCCACTTTGGTCTCTCCAAACTCATCTTCGCAACTCAGGGAGTCCTCTGGGCTCCACATGGTTCTCTTTACTGTCATCTGGAAACTCTCAAGGCCGTAAGATGGAGCAGTTGTAAGATTAATCTCGTTTTGTCCCATCTCTCAGAGATCACTCCTCATTGCCTGATGCCCAGTGTCTTGAAAACTGTTGTTTCATGTATTCTGTCCAGTTTTTTTGTTGTTTTAGCCAGGAGGCTAGATCTGGTCTCTACTACTCCATCATGGCCAGAAGCAGAAGTCTTTCCACATCTTGTTGATTTATTCCTAGGTACTTTATATTTTTTGTTGCAACTCTTAATATCTTTTAAAAATTGTTATATACCAGTTGCTGGCATACAAAAATGCAATCTGTTTTTGTTAATTTTATATCCAACTACCTTGCTGTACTCATTAATTCTAATAATTTATCTGTAGATTCTTTTGGATTTTCTATGTAGGCAATCATATCACTTACAGAATGACAATTTTGTTTCTTCCTTCCTAAATCTTATACTCTTTTTTCCACTGGCTAGATCCCTTGATGAAGTGTTGAATAGAAGTAGTGATAGTGGGTATCCTTGCCTATTCCTGATTTTTTTTTTTTTTTTTTTTTTTTAAAGATTTTATTTTTTCCTTTTTCTCCCCAAAGCCCCCCGGTACATAGTTGTGTATTCTTCGTTGTGGGTTCCTCTAGTTGTGGCATGTGGGACGCTGCCTCAGCGTGGTCTGACGAGCAGTGCCATGTCCGCGCCCAGGATTCGAACCAACGAAACACTGGGCCGCCTGCAGCGGAGCGCGCGAACTTAACCACTCGGCCACGGGGCCAGCCCCTCCTATTCCTGATTTTAAAGGGACTATTTCATCATTAATACTGATGTTTGTGAGGCTGGCCTGGTGGCATGGTAGTTAAGTTCACACGTTCCACTTTGGGGGCCCAGGGTTCGCCGGTTCGGATCCCGGGTGCGGACATGGCACCGCTTGGCAAGCCATGCTGTGGTAGGCGTCCCACATATAAAGTAGAGGAAGATGGGCACAGATGTTAGCTCAGGGCCAGTCTTCCTCAGCAAAAAGAGGAGGATTGGCAGCCTATGTTAGCTCAGGGCTAATCTTCCTCAAAATAAATAAATAAATGAATAAATAAAAATAATGATGTTTGCTATCAGTTTTTGGTAGATATCCTTTCTCAGGTTTAAAAAGTTCCTTTTCTTCTTGGTTTGTTAAGTACTTTTATGAATGGGTGTTAGATTTTTATCAAATGATTCTGTCTGTTGAGATTATAATTTTTTTTCCTCCTTTACTCTGTTAATGTGGTAAATCTCACTTGATAGATTTTTCTAACGTTAAACAAACTTTGGATTCTTGGAATAAACCCAGTATGTTCATGATGCATTTATTTTTTCAGACATGGTCAGAGTCAGTTTGCCAATACTTCATTTCAGATTCTTGCTTCTATGTTCATGAGTAAGATTAGCCTGTGAATTTCCTTTCTTTTTTACTTCGCTTGTCTGGTTTTGGTATCAAGCTTATTCTAGGCTGATAACAATGAGTTGCAGAATATGCCTTTTTCTGTTCACTCGAAAAGTTTCCGTAAGATAGGAATGATCCTCAATAGGAAGTTTGATAGAACTTGGTATAATCATTTGGGTCTGGTGTTTTATTTGTGAGAATGTTTTTAAATATGTATTTCATTCCCTTAACATTTGTGGTACCATTTAGGATTTCTATATATTTACACCCACATCCATATATACTCAGTTCTGTTATAATGCTTGTTTTGAAAACAAACTTGTCCCAACACAATTGCACATTAGGGAACAATTAGAGCATGACATGAACTTCCTGTTGCTCTGGTACCAGTTTTGTCCTTAGGAAACCCTGGGTGAACACAGCAAACTGGACCCAGCTGTAGTGACTCGCATGGGAATACACAAGCATGCACGCATGCGCACCTCACACATCTCGCAAGCAGCTATGTCAGTTCACCGTGTGTGCTCTGAGCCACACCCATCCGTATCTGCTGTTACAACTTTTGTCCACGTTCAGACTTCTAACATTTGCTAGTGACCCACCAGCTGCAATCCTTTCTTTCTGTTGCATAATCCACACTCAGTGTCTATGGGGATGGGGCAGTGGAGTGAATGGGGGAGAAAGGAAACTAAGAAGACACCAAATTTTTGGTTTTGGTGATGGATAAATGCTAATATAATTTACTAAAAATGCAGGAGGCAGAACATGTGTGGGGAGAAGCTGGTGAGTTCCACTTTGGACGTCTGGTGTTTTAACTGCGTGAAGAAGACTCAGCTGGGCATCCGATCTTCAGCTCTGGGGATCTGAAGGTCAGCAGAGAGCTCAGGGTTAGATGTAGAGTGGCTGGTGTGTAGGTGGTGATAGGGAAGGTCACACGTCCCTGGGAAGCCTGAGATGACTATGGCGCATCAAAGGAAGAAGAAACAAAGGAAAAGACAGAAAATGAACGGTCAGAGATGGAGGAGGAGAGCCAGTAGGGTGGTGACATGCAAGCCCAGGGAGGGTAGGATTTTGAAAAGGAGTGCTCAGCATTAATGGCTACCAGTCCCTCAGGGTTTCCTTGTTCAGGTATTGTTTCACTTAATCCTCAAAGCCATCCCGAGGTGCAGGTGGCAGTGTACACGTTTCTTTCAAAAAAGAAACAGAGGCTCAGATTTGTTAAATAAGTTGAGTAATCACACATGTAAAAGATGAAAGTGGGGGGCTGGCCCCGTGGCCAAGTGGTTAAGTTAGCGCGGTCTGCTTCAGTGGCCCAGGGTTTCGCCATTTCGAATCCAGGGCATGGACATGGCACCGCTCATCAAGCCATGCTGAGGCAGTGTCCCATATGCTACAACTAGAAGGACCCACAACCAAAAATACACAACTATGTACTGGAGGGCTTTGGGAGAAAAAGGAAAAATCAAATCTTTAAAAAAAAAAAAAATGTAAGCAACATACAAACTCCAATCTCCCTTTTTCCAATGCTGGAATTCACCTTGCCAGGCCACACCGCCTCCTCCATGGGGAGGAAGAGGCCAGGTTTACTGGGTTAAGGAAGGAAAGGCAGGTGAGCGCAAGGAGACGAGGCTATGGTGGCAGCTGGTGGGGGAGAAGAGAAAACTAAAAGAACAAGGAAAGGCTGTTTTGTTTGTTTTACGATGAGGGCAATATGAACATACACTTGCTCGTTCAGCAAACGTTTATTCACATTGAACATTTACTTCTGGGCTCTGAGGATATAACGGTAAAAGTCGAAGTCCCTGACAGAGCAGAGCCTGTCCGAGTGTGAGTCCTGCACCTAAGAGGCAGCCAGAAGTCTTCAGAGGAAGTGGAAGGGGACCTAGCCCTAGGCGCTGGGCTCAGGACAGCGGACCCCATGGAAGGGGCAGAACTGGGAGCCCAGGAGAAATGCAGGGGGCAGGTCTGCAGCACCTCCTGGCCCCCCTTTAGGTGTCCG